GCTGCTGCCACTGGGGGGCAGCGGCACCCGGCGCGGAGGAAAGCAGGGAAGGAGGGAGGGAGGGAGAGAGAGAGAACGAAAGAAAGAAAGGAAGGAGAGATAGACAGAAAGGGAGGAAGGAAGGAAAAGAGAGAAAGAGAGAAAGAGAGGGAGGGAAGGAAGGAAGAAGGAAATGAATGAATGAATGAATGAAAGAAAGAAAGAGAGGAAAAGAAAAAAGGAAAGGAAGGGAGAAGGAACTTGCAGTCACAGGGCGTGCATGCTGCTCTCACCGATATCCTGTGCAATCCCAGCACCTGGTGCCTCCACACTTCTGGCCCTCACACCAGGTCACCTTGTACCAGACAGAGGAGGGCAAAAAGGGGCCCTTCCCTGTCCCCGATCCAAACAGCTTGCCCTTGAGGCTGTGCTAGCACAGACCTACTACCATCCTAGCCCCCAGGTGGGCTACAGTCCCTTGATAATGCATTGTAACAATATCATGTATAACTACTATTTGTGACCGTAACACCACCTTCAATGTATGACCTAGAGAAAAAAATTGCTTGCAAGCAATACACAGCTACTGCTCTGCACACTTACCACTATTTCACACCTTCTTTTTTTTCCCAGTGATATTCCACTAAAAAAGTCTGAGCTATAGATTAGCAACAGCTGGAGCAATAGCGAAAATTCAGGGTAGGCAAAGTATAAGAATTTTAGGAACTGTAGTGTATAAAAACTGCAGTACTGTGTTGAACAGTCCTTGAGCCTTCATATAGTGCTCTTTGAGGTTTGCATTGTAGAAGATGCTACAACTGCCCAAAGGAACCATCAGTTCCCTGGTATCTAGACCCTGAAAATTGCATTAAATTAAAAGAAAAAAACCTCAAATCCCAATAATGTGGACCCTCAAGGATCCGTTGAGTTACATGATGGTTATTATGCAAAGAACAAATGCAACATGGCTGTGATGCTGAAGGCCATGGCTTGTGAACATGTGAAACATGCTGAACTCATGACTGTGCAAACCATCTGCACTGCTCATACATGTGTCTTTGCAGGAGCAGTGCCACATTTTGAGGCTGAGCTCCTTTACAGGACACTTAGCAGTGGTCTCAGGTGTGTTTATGCTTGGTGCTGACCCACTTTATCATTTTCTACATATTTCCTGCAAAAACATGAGTTAATTTAAGCTGCCTGGAATTGATTTGGTAATACCAATCTTTTCCCACAGAGAGGGATGCTGCTGGGCGAGAAGAAAGTAGATGCGATTTTTAAGGTGATGGAAAGAGAAGCAAGCAGATAACAGCCTGAGGAATGGGAGAAAGGATGGTAAAGCCCATTTCTACCTTTCTGCCTCCTCCTCGTCTTCATCTTTATAGGTCACAAGTGCAGTTCACCTGTAAAACAACCTCAAGGAGTCTAATTCTAGATTATTTTTCCCTTGAAAGACTACTTAATCATGGCTTGTGAGTTCAATGAAGCCCATTATTAGAATCACAACGGCACTAGGCAGCCAGCAATAACTCACTCCCTGCCTCCCAAATTAGTCTCAATAACACAGCGAATTTCTAAGAGGAAAACCAAGAGTGAACCTGGACTCAAGCTGCTAAGAATGTGGAAATACTACCAGGTATAAAATTTCCTTTGAAGTGTTTTATGGATTAATTATCATTAAAAATGAAGTCAAATGGTGGCTGGTGGCACCAGTGGGTTTGAGGATAGAGCAGTTCTTCTAGTCTCGCTTTCTCTGCAAAGTTTATACCCCTACTAAGGGATATAAAGCTGCCCTTGCTTTGATGCGAGGGGTATAAAGGTGCCAGCTGCCCATGCTGGCACGAGCCTTAAGCGTAACTAGATCTTTTCCTTCCTTCTTACCTATCCCCTCCCTCCACGTATTTACTGACCTGTGGCCCCTTCCTGCGCTGCCCCACACCAGCTGCTGCAGGGGGCAAAGACACCTCCTGCAGCCCCTTCATCCCATGTGGTCATCCCAGAGCCTCCAAGCAGGGACATCTTTATAGTAATATTCCTGCATTTGCACTCCCTTTAAACCCCAAACAAGAAAGAGAAAGTC